CACCATATATCGATCAAATCAGCCATGAAACTCATATCGACATCTTAATTTAACGTTTCAGTCGCTCATGATGGAAGAAGACGAGCGTGTTTACATCAATACTTTCTGTGCAGAAGGCACTCCAGAATGCCCTGAAAACGTTTCCCTTCCCTGACGCCTGTTCCCATCAGTCATCGGCCTTCAAGGTTGACAGTCAGCATGTCCACCTCCGGTCATGCCCCTAGCCCCACCTGGCGGTATGTGGTGTGTGGTGTAGCTGTTTTGTACAGGTGTATATCTACACACATGTCAGCAGGTAGATGTACACACAGTGACCAACGCCCCTCACCCCAACACGCATGGTACATACCCCAAGAAAAGATGTTGTGTGGCCTTATTGTGTAGTGTATCTACACTGGTGTATAAGGACACGCGGATAAGTACGCACATGTCATCACGCCGATGTACACATTCCTCGCCTGCGCATTCCCTCAACCCATCCCACCCCCAAAACATAGCCATAAAATGATAAGAGAGCGTTGTGAATGGGACAACTGTATACGTGTGTATGTAGACACTTGTAATCATGCCGATGTACACAATCCTCGCCCACGCCCACGCCCACCTCCACCGTCACGCCCTGCACATGCCCCGATAATGGTTGGTTGGTTTGTTGTTTAACGCCGCACTCAGCATTATTCCAGCTATATGACGGCGGTCTGTAAATAATCGAGTCTGGACCAGACAATCCAGTGATTAATATCATGAGCATCGATCCACGCAATTGGGATCGATGACATGCATCAACCAAGTCAGCGAGTCAAGTCAGCCACCCGATCCCGTTAGTCCCATTACGACAAACAAAGACTGCCCCGATTATGAGAAGATAGTGTTGTGCAAGGCCTACTGTATAGTAAACGTGTATATGTATCACCAGACCGATGGGTATAATCCTTGACCACGCCCTCTCTCCACCCACCCCGACACCAAGATAATGAGAAGTAAGTGCTGTGCAAGGCCTACTGTATAGTATACGTGTATATCATAGTGTACGCATGTCACTATACCGATTTACGTAATCTTTGACCACGCCCTCTCTCCACCCACCCCGACACCCCGGTAATTAGAAGAGAGTGCTGTGCAAGGCCTACTGTATAGTAAACGTGTATATGTACGCATATGCCACCAGACCGATTTACGTAATCTTTGACCACGCCCCTATCCACCCACCCCGACACCAGGATAATGAGAAGTGAGTGCTGTGCAAGGCCTACTGTATAGTAAACGTGTATATGTACGCATATGCCACCAGACCGATTTACGTAATCCTTGACCACGCCCTCTCTCCACCCACCCCGACACCAGGATAATGAGAAGTGAGTGCTGTGCAAGGCCTACTGTATAGTATACGTGTATATGTACGCATATGCCACCAGACCGATTTACGTAATCCTTGACCACGCCCTCTCTCCACCCACCCCGACACCAGGATAATGAGAAGTAAGTGCTGTGCAAGGCCTACTGTATAGTATACGTGTATATCATAGTGTACGCATGTCACTATACCGATTTACGTAATCTTTGACCACGCCCTCTCTCCACCCACCCCGACACCCCGGTAATTAGAAGAGAGTGCTGTGCAAGGCCTACTGTATAGTAAACGTGTATATGTACGCATATGCCACCAGACCGATTTACGTAATCCTTGACCACGCCCCTATCCACCCACCCCGACACCAGGATAATGAGAAGTGAGTGCTGTGCAAGGCCTACTGTATAGTAAACGTGTATATGTACGCATATGCCACCAGACCGATTTACGTAATCCTTGACCACGCCCCTATCCACCCACCCCGACACCAGGATAATGAGAAGTGAGTGCTGTGCAAGGCCTACTGTATAGTATACGTGTATATGTACGCATATGCCACCAGACCGATTTACGTAATCCTTGACCACGCCCCTATCCACCCACCCCGACACCAGGATAATGAGAAGTGAGTGCTGTGCAAGGCCTACTGTATAGTATACGTGTATATGTACGCACATGTCACCAGACCGATGGGTATAATCCTCGACCACGCCCCTATCCACCAACACAGGCGAGAGTGTTGTGCTGGGGCCTACTGTATAGTATGGACATATACTCTTGCACAGCAGGTCCGGTCAGCAGGGGTAAATCATGTTACCCTAACAACGGATTACATATATCCTCCCAGACACATGTGTACATAATGACCCCACTGTCCTCACAAGGCTGCCTTCATCAATCTCCCCTACTTCAACAATGACACGCTGCTCAAATATAGTGTTGAACTACGCATACCCCCGTTGGGAGTCCTGGTTACGAGGCCACAATGCGACTTAATGGATCGGGTGGTTATGCTCGGTGGATTTGTTGATTTGCATGCCATTGTACTCCAACTCCTGGAGCGTTGTTCATGATACTGATCTCTGGCTTGTCTGCTTATTATTTACAGGCCGCAGCCATGTAGCTGCAATAATGCAGCGTCAAACAAATCAAGTACCTATCGATGTATCTAGCCTTGCTCCAAGGCTGTACTGAATGAGTGAGTGAGTGAGTATGGTTTTACGCCGCTTTTAGCAATATTCCAGCAATATCACGGCGGGGGACACAAGAAATGGGCTTCACACATTGTACCCATGTCGGGAATCGAACCCGGGTCTTCGGCGTGACGAGCAAACGCTTTAACCACTAGGCTACCCGACCACCCCTCTGTACTGAATGATAAGTCAATGGATGTATAGTAATTATATCCTTATAACAGACAAGTTTACATAAGGACGGAAGTCGTGTCAAAAGGGGCAACTTGTTCTTATTGTATATTTTTGGAATTATGATATGAACTTATAATTTCTTAAGAGACTTGTGTAAGTCTATGTGTATCCCGTAGCCAACGTTATGCAAAGATGACTGGGTGACTATACAGCAATCATGTATGTTTATATGTTATTTTTGTGGCCGTGTGAGATCAGCGTTCAACGTCCGTGCTTCTAAACTTTTATTTCTCATGCAAAATATGAAATATCAAGATAATCTGTTTTCGACACTAAAGGTGTACACACCGTTATCGAATTACCACACATCCACTTAGCCAGACCACGCCCCGCCCTTCCCAACATGGTCGTTCAGAAACTGTCCATACATGTCCCGATGACAACGTCACCCCACCCCACCCAACCACACCCTGACCCACCGTCACCAACCCTCCGACTTTGCAACCAGCAGCCCTGTCCCGCCCTGACCTTCGTTACTGCACAAGAATGACCTGGGTGGGTCGCTCTGATACTGTCCACACGTCCCTTAGACGCTGCTCCGTCAAACCAGCGACCTACACCCTTGCCCATCTTCATAACCACCGACCATCGATACCACCCCTACCCCCAATACTGAGATAGATGGGTTACGGACACCGTGTTGTCAGCTGATCTATCCACACTCTCACCCCCTCCACCCTCGTCATGTGCACCATCTACCCTTGTCGCGTGGACCATCTAGCCTCCACCCTCGTCACGTGCACCATCTACCCTTGACGCGTGGACCATCTAGCCTCCACCCTCGTCACGTGCACCATCTACCCTTGTCGCGTGGACCATCTCGCCTCCGCCCTCGTCACGTGCACCGTCTACCCTTGTCGCGTGGACCATCTAGCCTCCACCCTCGTCACGTGCACCATCTACCCTTGTCGCGTGGACCATCTAGCCTCCACCCTCGTCACGTGCACCATCTACCCTTGACGCGTGGACCATCTAGCCTCCACCCTCGTCACGTGCACCATCTACCCTTGTCGCGTGGACCATCTCGCCTCCACCCTCGTCACGTGCACCATCTACCCTTGTCGCGTGGACCATCTAGCCTCCACCCTCGTCACGTGCACCATCTACCCTTGTCGCCTGGACCATCTAGCCTCCACCCTCGTCACGTGCACCATCTACCCTTGACGCGTGGACCATCTAGCCTCCACCCTCGTCACGTGCACCATCTACCCTTGTCGCGTGGACCATCTAGCCTCCACCCTCGTCACGTGCACCATCTACCCTTGTCGCGTGGACCATCTAGCCTCCACCCTCGTCAAGTGCATATCTAACCTCACCCATGTCACGTGATCCATCTACGCTCCACCTTCTTCACGTGCACAATCTACCCTCTACCCTTGTCACGTGCACCATCTACCCTCTACCCTTGTCACGTGCACCATCTACCCTTGTCGCGTGGACCATCTAGCCTCCACCCTCGTCACGTGCACCATCTACCCTTGACGCGTGGACCATCTAGCCTCCACCCTCGTCAAGTGCACATCTAACCTCACCCATGTCACGTGATCCATCTACGCTCCACCTTCTTCACGTGCACCATCTACCCTCTACCCTTGTCACGTGCACCATCTACCCTTTATCCTTGTCACGTGCACCATCCACCATTGTCACGTGCATATCTACCCTCCACCCTCGTTACGTGCACTATCTACCCTCCACCCTTTTCACGTGTACCCTCCACCCTCCAGACCAGACCCCCACTCTCTCCTTCAAAACAGTTCAAGAGGTTCTCCTGACCAGGTTAGATTACTCCCAGTTGGTTGCCGTGCTGTAATTGACTTACTCCAGACTACGGAGTAAAATAACATTCAGTCACTCACTTCATGATCAAACACCAATGTTCCATAATTTACCAACAACGATATACACGCACATTGTGTGTCTACTAAACACTCAGCTCCATCTGACAAACTTGTTGTGGCGAGTAATTATTTGAGAACGCGACCCTCAACGTTGTTATGAACATTTAGGATACACGCCCATGGTGGCAGATAGTAACACAACTGAGATCACGTTACAGGCGACGTCCCCCCGCTTACCAACGTCTACCCTCTCTGTTAGCAACGACTCAGACAACATTTGTGCACCCATATATGAAGGGCCGCCAGCCAGAAATGAAAACAACTGCAAAAAATCAACAAGGACGGGCAGATGAAAAAGTCACGAATTGTAAATATGCTTACCTGAATGGAGAGACAAAGTAAATCCTAAATCCTGTGTCCAGTGCCTGTGACAACACTCCTGGCTTATATATTCACGTGCACTGTGTCCCTAACACTATTTAAGAGGTAGAGAAGCGACGTTCCCCTCCCCGACATATATTCCGGTTCATACTCTCCTCGTGGGTGCAAACAAATTTTAAACCGTCTCAGTCCAGGCGATAAGCGTTGGAGAGTAGGACACGTGTGGACAAACCCGAAATGTTTCTGTGACACAACTGTCCGTTCACAACACTCGCCCCAGCATTTCCTCAATGAGTGTACGTATTGTCAATGAACTGAGTCAGTTTATCCATTGTATACTTCGGGCAGAGGAGAAGCTATGGATACATGTATGTCTGTCTGCATGAGTTATATCACAGCACTGGTATATACAGGATCGGGGCCATAGGCAACATCGATCTGTGCACGATTCACTGGACTTACCCAGTATTCGGGGCATTTGAATCTGGGGCAAGGTGCTTGATGGGTGGTAGTGTATTCTGGTGAGTGAGTGTAGATCTGAGAGTGAATGTATGCATAGAGTGGATCCACCCTGTTCAATATTATTATTTCAATATTATGTACTTGGGTAATTAATTATTGAAAAGCGGGAGTTTTTGTTAAAATAGTTTCAACAGATTAGTTTCACGCGAGGTGTAGTAGCATATACATTCTCAACGGACGTCTTGCTTCAAAATAGCCATCATTATCATTATTTTTATCATCATTATAATTATTATTATCTTTGAAAGGCATTTAGAAGTGATACATAAAAGGAAGGGAATTTATGGATGTCAACTTCTTTTGTGTTCTAGAAGTTTTATTCTCTTCCTTATTATTATTATTTTTTTTATTATTATTATTATTATTATTATTATTATTATTCACTGTATATATTTAAAAAACCCAGAAAACCAGTGAGCTGAAGCACGTATAGTTTAACTTAGTTGTATGTAAATCTGGTCTATATTTCTCCACTTTTGATGATATTTTAAAATCATAACTGGTTATCCCTGTCAAAAGTTGAGTAGTATAATACAGAAATGTGCGTGGCTTGGATGAAGTGGTACGTGAATATCAGAGAGCAGGAAGTTAGTGAGGGTGGGGGTGTCAGGGTGGATTTTCTGTCCAGTGGGGACATAAAGGTGGGCTGTCTGGTCATATATCTAGGCCCCACCCTAAAACATACACATACACAACGCCAAGGAGTGTACGTCGACATCAGAAGCAGGTTGGCCATGTGCCCTTCCTCCGGAGTGTTGTAGCTGAGTGGACACGCGGGGTGTGGAGTTGCGATCTACATGTCGATACAGGCTCATTGCATGCCACATTCAGCGCGAGGAGAATAGGCGCCTGTGGCCGTGGTTGGCTGGGATATATATAATATAGTGCCTGTTATGCAGCCTGCTCTGACAAGGGATGGAGTCAAGGATATGACCTCTTATCGTTTCCGTCCGGGGTCAGTAGTATTTAGCTATGACTGATGAGTCAGATGGAGACAGTCACATTCATCTCACTGGGCACGTCAGATATTACACGTGTCATAGACTGTACATCACAGGCCGGCCTTGACAGCAGGACATACACAATCCTTTCCTATACGGCTCCTCCATATACTACACATGTATTACAGACTGTACCAAGTCTAGTTTCGTCCTTGACAGGACATATATAGTCCCTTCCTATACGGCTCCTCCATATACTACACATGTATTACAGACTGTACCAAGTCTAGTTTCGTCATTGACAGAAAGACATATATAGTCTCTTCCTGTACGGTCCCGCCGCATTCCTGACAACACAGAGACATGTACAGATGGAATGCACAGAGAAGTAAGGAATGTACACAAGGTCACTCACTGCACACCTGGCATGGACAACACATTCATTTAATCAGCCGGGAGGTGGGTGGTCGTCAAACACGTGGACATCGACACGTCAGCAATTTGACGGAAATGTGCGATATGTTCAAATGTATGAGTATCTCGAACCCGGATATCTCGAAGTAATGCTTGATAACATCCCATCATATAGACTAGACTCGGTCTCTTCTGAAAATATTTTTTGTGCTTTTAATTTATAAAAATCAGAGTTATCTTTCAATTTCCGTCTTTTGTGTGTTTGATATTCAATAGTTTTATTTCAAAAATAAATAGTTAGTCATTTCTATGTTTTCGGTTTCATGTACTGTCAGAAAAGACATTATACCATATAAAGGTGACTGGTCCAGTCTTCTCGCATGCACCTATCTATGTTATTTCCTCGAACCACAAACTCCCATTATCTCGAATGTCTTTTGGTCACCCAACATCGACACAACTAGAGGAGTCATTCCTTGTATACATGACCTCATAAATCACCAGATATAACAGTGACACAAGCTAGTCCAAGCGTACCCCGAGGTCACTACATACAATTTGAAGGAAAATTACTTTTTTTCATGGGGTTAAAATTATTAAATAACCCTCAAGTCTTTTAATTTCAGAAGCTGCGAATGGGTTGAGTATAGGCTAATAGAATTGAGAAGATGAGTACAGGCTGATAGAATTGAGAAGGTGATGGGTATAGGCCAATAGAATTGAGATGGAGATGAGTACAGGCTGATAGAATTGAGAAGGTGATGGGTATAGGCTGATAGAACTGAGAATGGGGTGAGTATAGGCTGATAGAACTGAGAATGGGGTGAGTATAGGCTGATAGAATTGAGAAGGGGATGAGTATAGGCTGATAGAACTGAGAATGGGGTGAGTATAGGCTGATAGAACTGAGAATGGGGTGAGTATAGGCCGATAGAACTGAGAATGGGGTGAGTATAGGCTGATAGAACTGAGAATGGGGTGAGTATAGGCTGATAGAATTGAGAAGGGGATGAGTATAGGCTGATAGAACTGAGAATGGGGTGAGTATAGGCTGATAGAACTAAGAATGGGGTGAGTATAGGCTGATAGAACTGAGAATGGGGTGAGTATAGGCTGATAGAACTGAGAATGGGGTGAGTATAGGCTGATAGAACTGAGAATGGGGTGAGTATAGGCTGATAGAACTGAGAAGGGGATGAGTATAGGCTGATAGAACTGAGAAGGGGATGAGTATAGGCTGATAGAACTGAGAAGGGGTTGAGTATAAGCTGATAGAGTTGAGAATGGGTTGATTATAGGCTGATAGAACTGAGAATGGGGTGAGTATAGGCTGATAGAACTGAGAAGGGGATGAGTATAGGCTGATAGAACTGAGAAGGGGTTGAGTATAGGCTGATAGAACTGAGAATGGGGTGAGTATAGGCTGATAGAACTGAGAATGGGGTGAGTATAGGCTGATAGAACTGAGAATGGGGTGAGTATAGGCTGATAGAGGTGAGAAGGGGTTGAGTATAGGCTGATAGAACTGAGAAGGGGCTGAGTATATGCTGATAGAACTGAGAAAGGGATGTATATAGGCTGATATAATTGAGAAGGGGCTGAGTATAGGCTGATAGAATTGAGAAGGGGATGAGTATAGGCTGATAGAATTGAAAAGGGGATGAGTATAGGCTGATAGAATTGAGAAGGGGTTGAGTATAGACCTATAGAACTGAGAAGGGGATGAGTATAGACCCATAGAACTGAGAAGGGGATGAGTATAGACCCATAGAACTGAGAAGGGGATGAGTATAGGCTGCTCGGACTGACAGGGGGGTGAGTATAGATTGATAGAGCTGAGAAAGGGGATGGGTATAGTATGATAGCATTGAGAATGGGTTGAGAATAGATTAATAAGGCTGAGAATGGGTTGAGTATAGGCTAAAAGAACAGAATGGGTTGAGTACAGACTAATATAGCTGAGAATGGCTCGCGTATAGGCTGAAAGAACGGAAAATGGGTTGTGTATAGACAAACAAATCTTGGAATGACTTGAGTATAGGCTGAAAGAACAGAAAGGGTTGAGTATAGAGCTGATGGAGGGATGGAATGGAAGGAGGTGATCGGTTTATATACTCTGGGGTGCTTAAATCGCGAAAGCGGAGGTCAAGGTCAACACCAAACCATCGTCGATGACTCTTACACATTATATGAGAGGTGTGAACACTATAAAACCGCCGGAGTAGACAACACAGATAATATAACACTCAGATGGCACTCACCTTCCGGGTACTTCTCGAGGAGACATTTATGTCAGTTTCGATTGAGATCTTAAAACGGTCAGTGTCTTGTCTACACTTAAAGGGGCACAAGGCTTGGACAAATTAGCGGTCCCGGCAAAGTATATTAAAATCCGCCAATCACATCTTTGTTTGTATGCTAACGAAAGGTTTATGATGTGTTTCAATCTTGCAGTTAATGATGAGCATAATATATTACATAGAGAAAGTCTCAATTTGTCACCATAGAGTTAATGACAAAGAATAGACCTAGCTTGGGTTCTCGACTGTGGAGCATACACAATATTTAATTTCAACATCAACCGACTTGTGGATATATATATACACGAACGTTATATGAACTGTCGGCATGTCCCGCTGTCCTCATATATAAACAAGCAGCGATTACTAGTCAACGTCTCAGGACAATCGGGGCTGGGATTCTTATCGAAAAAATAATTTGTCCCCGAAAATTCTTGAAAATAATAATTATGCTTCAGACTGTTAAAAAAAGAAATTGCATGCCACAAAAAATATAGTTTTAAATATAAACATATCCGTTTTGTACCTGTATCTTTAAAAATATCTAATCTCGATAACAAAAATCACCGTCCCACCATCCAAGGTTTGGAACTTACAAAATTGGGCTTCACTTATTGTTCCAATGTCATGGGAATCGAACCCGGGCCTTCGGCGAGACGAGCGAACGCTTTAACCACTAGGCCACTCCACCGCCCCTGCCTCACGTGTTAACAGCGTCACCGAGATATTAGAATTACATGAAGAAATATACTCCCGGGCAAACGAAAGAATACAACCATGTTTGATGGTGGCTAAGAATGTTATACACAAGAAATGGTTGTTAAATCTTAATGTATTTGATATGGGTATCATAGTGTTTTGGACCTTAAGTTTGCAGAGTTTTGGCGTTTTCATTACGTTGTAGTCCAAATCAAATCCGCTTTTCAAGTGTATGCTTTCTTTTGCCCGGGCCTGCATACCATCCGAACGTTGCACCATATCACCCTAACTAAAGAGAGAGCGGCGCCCGGACTCTTGATCTCATCTACGCACAGCATACAAGTAACCAGTCTAGTTGTCAGCTGCCTGTAAAATGTCAAAGAGAGACTCTGCATAACTGCGCTTGCTATCACTGATTAAAGTGCACACTGTCATGACGTTTATTGGGTTTCCTTGTCAGGTCAACATACGGCGCTGTCATTGGAATTAGTAAAGTTTCGAAATTAAGAATAACTTGACTTGACTCGAACCTTTTTTCGAATCGTACAG